ATACGCCCGAGCCAGATTCCGGTGATTCTCAAGACGTTACTATTATTAAACAAGTTAACGCGTTAGATAATATTACCGTTGAAAGCCTAGAAAGCGATTCAGACGAATCTGAAATAATGGTTAATAACCCGTTTGCAACCTTAAAATACGCGGTTGAAGCCGTTCCCTTCTTTGATGGGAACAATATTCCATTAAACTATTTTATTGAGGGATGCGAAAAAGCTAAATCTATGTTACCGGGAGAGGCTGAATCGCAATTCACTAAAATAATAAGAACTAGAATCGTTGGTGAGGCCCGTCGAACCATACAAGACAAAAATTTCAATAATGTATCTGAATTAACGTCTTATTTAAAACAAGTCTACGGATACTCTAAAAACGTTTACCAATTACAAGGGGAATTAGGCTGCATCTATCAGAAAAATGGAGAGGATGTAATCACTTATGCAAATCAAGTTAAAATGCTCGGAAAGCAAATTTTGGAGGGTTATAAGGGACCCGGAAACGCCTTGCCCGATCAACAAACTAAAGCATCATTAGAAAAAGATATGTGTAAATGTTTTATAAGGGGATTAAAACCCGAAATCGAACAAAGGATTGCGAGGAATTGGGATGTACAGAATACGGTTACCAATGCTTTAAGGATAGAAAGAGAGCTTCGAACAATGACAGATTTACGAGGGGAAGAGAGAGCCGACTCAGGCAAAAATACGGCGCAAACCATAAACCGGGGACGGGAAACTTGTCAAATCTGTTATAAAGACGGGCATATAGCAAATAATTGCCGAAAACTCATTCAGCCTCACCTACAAAATTTTAATAAAACAGGATTGGAAACCGAAACTTTAATATGTCAAATTTGCAAAAAACGAGGACATAGTGCTGACAGATGCCGTTTGCGCCATCCTCAGTCGCGACAACCAGTAAACGTAATTCAAGAAAGAACTATTATTTGCCAATTATGTTCCAAAACGGGACATAATGCAAAAACATGTCGACAAAATAATAATAACGACCAAATTAATAAAGCATCCTTAATCTGTCAGTGGTGTGACAAACCTGGCCACTCAGCCAATAATTGCTGGAAAAAACAAAATGAAGAACGTAATTTGGAAAATAAGCGAAAAATTATTTGTCAGAATTGCGACAGAATCGGGCACGTCGCCAAAGATTGTCGTTCGAGAATAAATTCAAATTCGACACCTAAAAATAATCTATTCTGTCGATACAAAAGAAGAAGGCCATCTCCTTGAAAATTGTCAGTTAAGATTTGCGAGCAATAATCGCCGAAAAGAACAAGACCAGGGAAACTACAACGGGCCCTCGACGTCGGGTGTGCAGCAAGGGCCCGAGCGGACGTCGCACCTGGCTGCTCCACGGGAGGTCAAATAAACCGACAGAAACCAGATGTGCGGCCCGTGACAGTAAGCCTCACTAAACATGGTCGCGTGCCGACTGTACAGGTCAATCTTGACAAAATAACTCACATAACTCTTATGCTAGACACAGGATCAGGACCGAATATAATTAAAGAAAATTTTGTACCTGAAAATAGTAAAGTAAATTTCGCAAATATTTTAAAATTACACGGTATAAATAATTATCCTGTTTATACTCTGGGAGAAATTACTTTGATTCTTTTCAAAACGCCTGTGTCCTTTCACATCGTATTTAGCGATTTTCCAATTCCACAATCCGGAATATTAGGAAATGATTTCTTTAAACAAACTTCTTCAAAAATCGACTACGCAGAAGGACATCTGGATATCTCTGGAATTAACGTACCTTTTTTCTCCCCGGAAACCATAGTAGTTTCACCAAGATCCGAGTCATTATTCTATGTAAGGGTAGAAAACGACAGAAAATTCTAACTCCGTTAAATGTGAGGAGGGAAATTACCAAACCTCTTCTGATAAAGCAGAAATTATGTGAAGAACCAGTACTGCAATATCCTGATTTTTCTAAATCATTCATTTTAACTACCGATGCTTCCGGAATAGCTGTAGGAGGAATACTTTCGCAAGGAGAAATAAACAAAGACCGACCGATAGCTTACGCCTCCAGAACCCTCACAGACAATGAACTGAAATACGACACATATGAAAAGGAAGCATTGGCCATAATTTATTGCGTCAAACATTTTCGACCGTATTTATATGGAAGAAGATTTACACTTGTCACAGATTATAAACCATTAATGTGGTTCAAAAACGCGCAAGATGCTAATATGCGAATACTCCGTTAGAGATTAAAATTATCAGAGTACGATTACGATGTAATATACAAAGCCGGCAAAACTAATGTAAATGCAGACGCTTTATCGAGAAACCCTATAAACCTGGAGGAAATTGATTGCAAAATAATAAAAGATCGAAAATTGCTTAATCCAAACAACCCTGAAGATGCACAATTAATTGCCGAATTATTAGAAAA